ATACCCTGTTGCGTATATAACAAAAATGTTACTTCCGTGAAATAAATCCGCACGCCGCCTTTAAGGTCAGTCTAAAAATATCGCTGACTACTTCATGCTTTTCAGTGTTTTCCACCGATATTCCATAGAAAGAGATTCTGTATTGTATTGGAAGATATTTGCCAAAATAACGAGTATTTGGGCGTACTTCTTATGTAGATGGCCATTTGGGTCACGCCTAAGGACTCATTCGAACAAGGAGCGTAATTTGTAAATAAAATGGATGTCCACAACAAAATACTATCACAAATGTGCTTTCGACGCATTAGAATACCTTTTCAAATACCGCATTCTATTGACATATGTCTGGAAAAATAACTTTTACATGCTGAAGCTGGAAACGTTTGGCACCTTTGGCCGTTTCTTTTACGCTGCATAAAAAATTCCGACATGTTTCCGCCTCGTTCGAAGGACAGTACCTTTCTCTTCATATTGCGGTCGCTTTCGCAATCATTGCCCGGTATATTCAGCTGACTTTGAATATTAGATTAATAGAATCACTGACCGAACTTTTCCACATGTCTCTGGGAAATGTAGAATCGGCAAGACATTATAGCTATTCAGAACTTTGAAGCTTAATTAAAACTATTTGCCTTCTAATTCTTCACAACTTTGATCTTGACGACTGCCTAAGAAACCAAGATTTGACGACATCCTTTCTAAAGTAGCAGGTGGCACGCTGTGAACGCACTGAAACAGCAGGATCCAGCAGACGCTATTGTGGACGTATGCCCGTGCGAAAATGTCAAAATTGAGTAATGGCGTCACGCCAATGTGCATATCTACGTCACGGCATCTGCAAACCTAGCCTTCCGCCTTTTTCTTGTTGTATAAAGTCCTGTTCAGTGGAGATTGTGGACCGGGGGCGTGTTGATACGCGTTTATGTTTGGGTGCTCATCTTCGATCTCTTTGACCCTGCCCTGACACCGGGCCTCGTTCGGGGAGGAGGAGAAGGTGCAGTAGATGCTGGGCAAGTCTACTATCATTAAAAAACCAATTCGCACGCCTGTCACGTCCCTACCGTCAGCCTGGTGCGGAGCACATGATGGACTTGTTTGGTCACGACGGTCGAACTGTCTCACGTGCCAGAATTTATTGCTCAAATTTTTGGCCGTATTTTAACAAAGGATCCTTTGCACAAAATTATGAAAAAGCACAAATTAGATGTGCCTTTAAACTTCCTGACCTGTAACCTCTAAATATCTTTGTCTGTTTCTTTCCTTGCGAACATAAAACGTGTCAGCAGGCTAAGATAGCTTGGTACAAAAATTGTGCTTCGGTGGTTGACTTTCAGGGCTTGGAACAGACTGTCGTTTAAGAAGGAGGAGCAGTCGAAGAGTCTTTTCCTGACCACTCCCCGCTGTAGGAGTCGACAAGACGTACACTCATCATTCACGTCTGCCGAAATAACCATTATCTGAAATGAACTGTTTGTAATAGTTTATCGCACAACTGAAAGCGGCTTTGCCAGGATACTTTATTTGGAAGCCGTCTTAAAATGGGCGCCTATTAGCTGGTAGAGGCGAAATCTGTAAAACATAAAACCTTTTGTATGAAGAGTTACGGAGAAGAAATGTACGAGAACTCCGTGAAATGACATACAACATGCAAATTTGGTTTTGAATGACGATTGACCAGTTACCTGAAAAGGTACGTGACCGTTTATAAGTCCGTTCAATGCAAAACTTCAGCTGTAATTAAACACTACAGAAAATTTGAATTTATAGATGGTTTGGGAGGTTTTATATAGGTTTTTTACCCACCCGTGATAAACAAGACGAAGGCCTGAGTACATGCGACACCCTAGCCATCTGAGCTAGCAGGCCCCACCACGAACCGTGATTCTGATCAAAATTAGGTCAAGACACCTACCCAGCCTACTGAAACGAATTGGATCCAGTGAATTAAATGGCGTAAGCTGGCTGTCTAAGCAAGATTTTATGAGCTACCACTCTAGAATCCACTAGACGACTGCCGGGCTTTCGTAAAAATGGGCCGTTATCCTATTTCGAATAAGATATTTTGACCCGAATGTGAAACTTCAGCAACCTAAGATGCTTTGAATTCACGACAGTAGAGGGACAGTAACAACTGGTTATAGCATGACACAAGAACCGGGACCCAGAGCCCAAAGGCTAAAGCCTTTCTAAACTACATTCGGCCGCTAAACGAGGTATTCGTTTATAAATGCTTGCAAAAAATTCTTCAGAAAACCAACACAGTTTACGTTCCACACAAACTCACAATGTTTAACTATATTTAAGCTCACTTAGGCTGCCCATAAGACTGCTCCGGCACAAGTTCATAGAAGACAATGTTTGAGCCTACTTCAGAATCAGAAGCTCCTGAACCAAAATAGGGGGGTTGGAGTCGTGCTTTGGAGTTCTGTTTAGTGAAGGGGCAGTTAACTGATTCCCAGGATGTAGGGGTAAGTTGCAACGGCTCCTACTGCATTTCCATGTTTATGAGGTACAGTCCACCCCTTTTACTGTAGTCTAGTAGGTGTTGACCGAGGACCGCGTTGCCAATTTAATCATTAAACATGTTGCTCAGATTTGATTTGTCAGATCATCTGAAGAAGATTGATGTAGGATAAATGAAGTCGAAGCATTTTTTACTATAATCAGTTTCGCGTGTAACGCACTGTTGTTAGGACGGCCGCGTGGGGCGGCGATGGAAGTGGTCTGCCGGGACTGTTGGTGTACACACATGACCGTCGTTCCAGGCGATGTTCATTGTGTGCCCCGCATAAAGAGGGGGACGGATATAAATTAGTTTTATGCAATATCAGTTGCAGCTGCTGCACCCTCTTTCCTTTCACTCACCCTCATGCTGGTGTTATAACAGAACAGATGAGATAGGTGGCTGGCGTGAGCCTGCGCTTAGGCCTGTTACCACCCCTTACGTGTCACACCCCCATGTGTGATAGTTTTTGAGTGCGAAACCCAATAACACGTATCGGGTGCTGGTCTGCCTCCAGTTTTGGTACAGCAGTCTTAGTGTGTGCACCATTCCAACAGCTATATATATATGCAGAATGCTATTAACGACAAAAACAAGGAGGCTGGAATGGCCCTTCTGGCTTATTAGCCGTCGTCAGCCAGTCATACTCAACTCCGAAGTGTGAAACATGCGAGGCTCGAACTCGCGACCTGTTAGTTAGAAGTTGGTTAGAGGCGTGGACGTCTACCTAACAGGTCGCGAGTTCAAGCCTCGGGTGTTTCACATTTCGGGGTTGGGTATGATTGGCTGACGACGACTGATAAGCCCGAAATGGCCATTCCAGTCTCCGTTGTCTTTGTCGGTAATAGCATTCTGCCCGCCACCCACCACCATAATATATATATATATATATGAGAAGAAGAGGCGATCTCGGGAACCATAGGTATATTGCCCTGACGTTTCAAAAGCAAACAAGTTTGCATCGTTTGTAGGTGAGTATTGTACAGCGCTTCACAGTATTTATAGGCGGTGACGATCTTGTTACAACGGGTTTGCATCTATTCGGGGGCCGTCGTTCGGACGCTGGATGCCAACGCACGTGTTTACATTGACCTCAGCTCTCGTCCTAGGCTGGCTATCTTCCTTGTCCCCCCGCAGACACTTGTGTTCCCACCTGTCGCATGAGTGGCAGTGAGGATGGCACCTTCAACGGGTCCGTTAACGTTCCTGCGATCGTTCGTCCTCACACCTGCCAGATAAGTGGACGACGCGGCCGTAGTGACGATCGCAACTTCGTCAGATTCGGGTTGTAGTACAGCTGCGAGTGTGTCCCCCATGGACTCGGCCGATCTTGGGTTTCTGTCTTATCGCAGCCCGCCTATGCACTTCTGTTCACTGAGATGCGTCCGGAGGGCCTGGCAAGCTTCAGGAAGCGCTACGCTACGGTTGATGGAGTTCGCGCCAGTGTATATATATTCATACGAATTCGAAGACAGGCATCCCAAGAATCATAATTCAAGAGAAACAAGCGTTTTGGGAAAGATGAACAGGTTTTATTGCAAATTTTCGAACTCGGTTCCCCAAGTCGTCTTCAGGCGTGAAGTGAGTGTGCAAAACAGTTAACATTTAAACATGCCAAAAATCTATTTTGCTCTGTCACTCCTATTGGCGAAATGTCCTCATTGGCCAATGCCTTTTCTACGTTGACGTTAACCAGGTTATCAATGCCTTCTACCCTTCCAAGTCAGCAAAAATCCCTTTTTAAGAGTCATCTTATTTGACGACTGTAATGGATTATATCACATGTGGCCCGCATCTTCAGTGCGTTCGTATAACCTAACAGTTGGTACTCAGGTTGTTGAAGATGACAATTTTTAATCACGCGCATATCACAAGGGACCCTAAGGTAACATGTTTCATGCGTATACACCGACCTCTAAGTCGTTTCAAAGCGCAGATCCCTTTGGTGCTAACATTTATTTCGCGATACCTTGAAAATACTCATAAACTGCCTCAGCCCTAAGCACGCTGACTCAAGTTGCAAATTTACATGAGCTAATGCCTCCACGAATTTTTTCATCAAGTGTTGTTCGAAACGTATTTTAGGCATATTCCCTAAATTGTAAAGGCATAGTTTCCTTTTCAGAAACAAAATTTGGAAAAGTGTTGTTTTTTTGTATTAGGACAGACGATTTAACAGTTCAACATGCACGATATCAGGAAAAAAATTAATAATTACGTCTTCAACGAAAGTTTGGCGTTCTCGACCAGCAGGTCGTGAGACATCCCAATCCAACCATAGGTATTGCTGAATGCATCTAAAAAGTCAAAACCACTGTAGTGTGATCATTTGCTAATATTTCCAAGCCGACTTTCATTTATACATTAATTGAGTAGGTTTAATTTTTTCGACAGAAAACGTAAGCATTTAAATCACAGGAAAAAGTGGATACTTATCAATATTTCAAAAAGTATTTTACAGATTATTGTTTGGGTGTGATTACATACCAAGTCAGTCCTAGCATATGCACGAATCTAAAGGATATTCTACATGAAAAAAAAGTACAAATTAGTTTGAGTTTGTTTTGCCCTGAGGACACCGAATTTGTATTTAAGGCACAAATAACAGGTAAAATTAATAACTTCCGTTTGCATATTGCGGCCAAAATTCGCTTCTGCATGCAGACATTTTTTAACGAAACTTAAATGACTTCTCAAATGGCTATACCGTCATTTCCAAACCCTTACAATCACCTGACGACTAAAATTGTGGACTCAAACGTACGCAATTTGCCATTATGTCAGGCACTTATTTTATAAACTGGTGATGCCTATAATAAGTTATTTCTTCAAGAGCTGTATATTATAAACTATTGTACCCTTGTTTTTATTTACTGGAAATGAAATATTCCAAACGTTCATGTTTGTGTCACATACTTCACAAAATATATCTGCAAGATGACGGCTTATCATGATTTCAAACTGCTATTTCAAGTGAAGATTGAATATATACAGGTGGTGTCAGTACGGTGTATTGCAAAGCATTTTTATCAGAAAAAAAATATATGTAGAACCCACTTTCGAATTAAAACCTTCGAATATATTACTAAACTTTGATATGCCTTGCAAAGTCTCATATCCAAACGCCAGAAAAACGTTTGACTGCCCATAACCCCCCACAAACATGTACGAAGTTTAAGGTCTAAGTGCGTGAATTTCGTAAATACTCCTCAATTACTCTATCGATGCTGAACGTTTACCCATATAAACAAGTATTTGGTAGTTCACGATGCAGAATATTGAGATTTTGTGCAACGCGTTCCTTCAGGTTTCCTTTAAAAGCGAACAGAAGTGGCTTTTTGGGAGAGTTTTGCAATCAACAGTGAAGGAATATCCGTGTTTATAATCTTCTTCCTTTACAGTAAGCCAATGTTTTTTCTACGGTCACGCATTGATTTGAGTTTAAGTTTATATTCAACATACCTTCCTTTAACTGCACTTCGAGTTTTCACCAATCTCCCTTATTTTTGACTGCAATGGCATTCTACCTACCTTTTCATATTTTTTTCTGAAATCAATCTGATTTTTGCCCGTGGCTAAGAGCAATATTAGTAAATCGCACTGCATTTGCAAATAAGCAGGCGTATGAATGTTAACGGTAAACCAACCAAATTAACAAGCTATAATTGGACCATCAGAAATCCACTCCCTATCAAATTCAAAGGGCGCGTTAAGCGTCAATGTGAATAAAATTGTCAGGAACGGCGAATGCGAAAACTGATACGGATGTTGAAAAAATACTCTTGGGTTTCTATAGAGATGATAAAAGAGGAAAGCCAAACTACGTTTCTATTTTATTTTTTCCTACGAGCCAAGCAATCAACAAATTAGGAAAAAGTTAATGCCCTTTGATTTGTAAAAAAACTTAAACGGTTCAGATCAAGTGAAAACGAAAAAGGTGGGAGCTAAGCAAAATTCAGTTTGCGACACTCATGCATGTTAAAGTTATTTAAGGCCAAATCTATTCAGCATTTTCTTGATCAACATTACATATGTGGAGTCAACACACGGTAAAAAAACAATAAACATCAAATTTATGCTTGCTTCAAAGTACACTTAAGTCAAACGGATAGTATCTAAATTTACACACAAGATGTTAACGGTGAAGACAGAAATTCTGTGGTAGTTAAGAGAGGGAGGATCTGTTTTGACCGAGTAGAAGTGAATCAATATTTTATAACATTTGGATGGACGTTTAACCTCCAGGTTCGCTTCAAAAGACATTGAACAGCCCGCACAATCGCATAATCTATTGCAAATCAATAAACCGAGCTATCAAGTCTACTCTGTGTCGTACGCGAATAACGAATCTGTCATAGAAGAATTCAAATAAAAGAATCAAAAAATAATAAATAATAATATGTACGACGGTTTTTTTATTACCCAGAAAGAGAGTACTTTCTGCTGCAGTTTCAACAGTTGTTAACGAGGTGTTGGCTGCAAAGAGGAGCAAAGACCGGTTTAGACGAATTTGATATAACGAATGATCATATGAAATCGGGATGAATAATCATGCACAGTGGGCGGCGGAACAAGTGATAAATTTAGAATGACAGTCGCTGAAATACCCGAAAATTCGCCTACGTGTTCCTTATTAAAATAAATGGAAATTGTTGAGAAGATTTGGTATATAAACATATATATATATACAACCATATGTGTTTTCAATACCAAAATCCGTTATAATTGAAGACGAAGAATTTAAAACTGGCATAAACAAATATAATAATGATAAATATGCGATAGTAGGAAATGTGGTGTAACAGCAGAATGGGAGAATTGCCTTCAAAAAGCAACGCAATGCTCCATATTTACACACAACTCTGTCTGGCGTCACATGCGTCTGCGTCGATGCAAAGCAAAGGAAAAGCACTGCGGTGCGACAGAAGAATGAGAATATTTACATTGAAAGTTGTCCGCCTGTGCTAATTTTATATTCTACATTTCATAATAGGACGACGTTCTGAACGAAACTTAATTCCCAAGATCAATAAGCAGGCGCGATTTATACGCCGGACTGGCCTTATCCTAGACCTTGAATACAATGTTTCCCTTATTAAAATACATGCGCGTATATAGGAATGTTTGTTTTCACTACCAGGATCCGTTGTCCGTTCTGGTGCAGTTTCCACCGTAGTTGACGAGGACGCATCTAAAACAGGCATAGTGTTGCATTATAGTCATATAAACATGACAATAAAAGTATGCGTTAGCCGTACTGCCGTAAAAGCACATATTGAAAGGAGGTTGATCTTATTGGCCACAATCGTTTACGCCGGTACTGACAGTGTTGGACATGGGGCTCGGAATTCATCGCACTTCTCACTACCATCGTGTTTCTCCATTTCTTTTATAACCAAGTCATACATTCTACATTTGCTAATAATTATGCACTTTCAATTGATGTTGCATAGCTATGTTTGATGAACACATTACGATCTGGATATCCTTCAGTGAGTTAAACTGGAATATAACTGTTTTATGCTATTCCTTCGTATGGTGTGGCCTCAAATCTAGTGAAAATATTTAACCCTTTATACGGTTGTGCTTGTAAATAACTATCAAATACACGAACAATGCATGATGTGAAATCGCACACCAGCAGAGACCACCAAAACGGTACCTTCTCTCACTAGTAATTCATATGTTTGCCTCCACAGCTAAGTAAGTGGAGACTTTAAGTGATGTTGTTTGATCAATATAAGTGGCTACCTACCCCGGATCCACGTTATCTTAATTGACATGTCACTTCCCATTGCGTTACAGAACACATACTGATCGGGATAATATCTGTTTCCCTCCGTATTCGAGACGGTGGTAGCAAATATGATCGTATCGTTGTCCACTTCTCTTCTTTCTGCAATGAAACCAAAAAAGGCCATGTCGGTCGTAATATTTGCAGTGAAAAAGGCACTGGTAACGTTCACGTCGCAGTGGACGAGATAGGTCTTACCGCATGTTTGCACATTGTGGTCGTATTGACAGAAGACTTTATTCAGATCAAAGATGACCACCTACGAAGAGAAAGCAGGTATCAGTATTGCGAGTTGATGTTCTCTGCAAATCTGCACGGGGTTACCCAATACGCACATTTTCCTGTGATGATCGACACATCTTTCTCGATATGGCGCATTGAACTTGCATGCCAGATCCTTCGGTCGCATTTCGTATAAGTGGTAGTGAATACTGGGGCCTAATGCAGCCTGAAATAAAGAGGTGTTGTTAGGCATCGGGTGGTACGGAGTGATCTGATGCATTCCGACTTCAATGTAATGGCTTACTGAATTCACTGGTGGACCAGTCTCCATTTGGCGCAAAGAATTGTGTAATGCGCGCTATCCGATTGTCCACATGAAAATCATTAATTTGCCAACCGATGCTGAATGGGTTGTCGTGTCTGCAGATGTTGGCCGTTGTCACGTAGCTTTTCCCAACTGAAATTTACGAAATATATTGCCTGTTCATAATAGATTTATGGCAGCTTTATCATCAATAAGTCTTTTGGCGACAAGTTTTTGTTCTATAACTAAAGGTATGTTACGATTTAGAATTCAGTCTGCAAAATTGCGCTTTTGTTTATTTGTCATCATGCCTCTACCATTGAAAATCTAATGGTCCTTTTGGTTCTGAGTACTTAATAGTTCATTTTTACTCTTAAACATAGATTGGCTATTATACGTGTTGAATGGTTTTTTGCATTTGTATGCATGCACATGCACGCATATATCTATGCCTTTTCTTCTCCGTCCATGTCTAACCACGACTGGAAGACACGGCGTCGAATACTGGCGCAATCAACTTCCTAGTTCCAAAGCACATATTGGATTTCGTCCTTGTATCGTAATACTTCGTGACTTAGTCGCAACACTAGTCCTGGGTGCGGGTTAGTAAATAGCGCTGTTATTTAGTCGGTTTGAAATTATAGCCAACATTTTGCGGGATAAAGCTTCATGTTTTCCACAATTTAATTCTGAGTATAACAGGCGGACGATGGCAAATAGGCCTGAAGCGGCCATTTCACTCCTTCTTGCTTGTGTGGTATGCTATTCTGCCTTTATCATGCGTCGCTCTGCGGCTGATACTTGAGCTCCAGAGATAAGGGCGTTTCTCAATTCGCATTCGATAGAAGAACGAGTCCAATGCTCAGGGATTGGAGGTACTGAACATTTAAATAACAGGTTCCATAATTTTAAATTGGATATGACTGCCTGACGACGACTAGTAAGCTATAAAGGATCACTCTAGTCTCCCTTGTCTTAATACATGAAATTACTCTGCTTATTTGAATAAATGTATGTCGATCTCTCACATCTCCCGTAGGCATGACATGGTAGTGACATCGGAAGCAAGCGTCAGACATGCGGGTAGTGCAGTGCAAATTCATCATCATTATAAAAGTAATCCCGCACTCTCATTCTGCCGTGGTGTTCATCAATGGTCATGACGGTTGAACTGTCGTTCGTATGTATGTAGCGCATCTGATGAACGCTTAACTGAAATTATGAAATGTGTTTTTAACTAAGACGGAATATTGGCATTCGGTTTAAGTGTTGCCAACCAATTCTAACGAGGCAGCTTTTTCAAGCTAAATTCCTCAAATATTTTTTTACTATATACTTCCAAATTTTCTTTTGGTTTTTCTATTCTGGCACACCCTATTCAAGAACTAACTTGTTTCTTGTTATGTTCGTTTTTTCGAGGTTTTACGTCAATTCATATGCATGCGTTAGGCTATTTCACGTAAATTTATACGTTTGCTCCAGTATTTCTAAGAATAAATAGGGATACACATAGTTTTACCTTCAGATCTTCCTAAATGCAAAATGTCGACCTCTTATATAAAGAAAATCAGAAATTCCTCTATCTTGTTGAGGCGACCCTATGTGCAATGGATCTTGTCTACAGCACACATTTTCCTAAAGGAATAATTAAGCGTACTTATATGAGGATATTTGAACTAACTTTTGGTTGTTATAGAAAGCTTTGATCATGAACGACTTTAAAGAAAAATGTGAAGACGTGAGTTTCTGCGTTACGAGATCAAAAATGAATACTTCCGTTCATATATGCTTGCGGTTATAATCACATCCGTGCATCAAATCAAAATCCCAAATGAAAATACGCTGTAAATTAGATGTATACACAACTATATATAAATATATACCCGCGTGTGTGACTAATAATTCCCCTCGGGCATTGCTCATACCTTTTACCTCCTGGTATTCAACTTTAGTATCGTCGTCCCCTCGACCTCTACACCATCCATTATCGCAGCTTAGCACACGGGAATCTAATGCCATTTTCTGAAATTAGAATAAGGCCGTGTTATGGAAGATGACAGAATTCATGCGAGGAAGCATGCCTTCATGATGAACTTAACGATAAAATATAAATATTTCATTTTGCAAAATAAGTATATGGAAACTATTTTCATTGTCAAAAATTGTTTTAAATATTTTTCAAAATAATTTTACAAAAAAATGATAAGGTCATTTTGCCTATGACGCCAACGGTTAAGAAAAACCTGAATATTTCAAGAAAAAATATCAGTACCATGCAGGATTAGCACTCGATATATTACCGCAAGAGACTCCGGTAGGCTGACTGCGAACCAGACGCACTCGCCCGACGCGGTGACTACATTGTCTGCTAGACCGTTTGATGGTCCTTGCTGCAGCGAGACGGAAGTTGCCAGACCTGAGCAGGGAATTACAGCTTGTAAGGAGTTGTGCACATTGGGCTGAAGTCCCAAATCCTAGTACATATAAGGGATTTCTCAAGATAGCAGCCTTCTGTCCCCGGGTTATTTGAGAACGTTGCTCACACATACCCTTTACAAATGGAACATACTGCCTGGTAACCCTAGTCTTCAGCAGTATCCTCCAGAGATTCCGGATCGTTTTTTATTTCAAAATATCTTTTGTGATCGACTTTACTGAAAGGCAAATTCAAAAGCTAAAGTTATCGAGGGACTGTATTCTGTGCTTTAGTACCATGTGTTTTCTGCACCCTGCGGTGTAAGAACTCCGCATTTTATTTCAAATTATCCAGAATGCAAACAAAGTTATTAAAATAGAGTTTTTTAAAATATAATGGTAGTTTTAAACTGTTACTCTTTAGCATACAATGTTGCGTAAATTATTCTTCATGGGACTCACCAAGCAGGCAACATATCAGGACTATGTGTCCTAAGTTATGCATGCTGCAAATGCTGCGTCAGCTGTCTGTCATCTATATTTATACCCAAGAAACAGGGTAACAGGTTAGGAACCAAGATTTGGATAGGCCAACCTCGTCTCATCACCTGATTACACGTCACAAGCTGACGCTGCTTGAAAGTATTGGATGATGATTTCGCCAGAACTCCAACACTACTGTGAGAGATAGATGCGACATCATTGGTGTGTTAGATGGAAATCGTAATTTTATCAATATCGAAATATTATGCGTACTTTGAGAAAGGTGTTTGGCACCCCTTGACGTTGATGCCGGACGACAGCTGGTCCTCGGTGAATTTGACAAGCATGCTAACTCAGATGTATAATAAGGAACATGAAGCCACATATCACAATTAAAATTCGCATTCACAGAGACAATATTGTTTTTAAATTTATTATCTCTAAAGGCTATTCTAGTTTCTTTCTCTATAACGGTGTTTCAAAACGCAACTTCGAGGGTTATTCATATTTTGAGGACAAATAGCAGCACTTTCGAACCGTAATACACATATGTGCAGCAGTCGTACCGACCGGTAGATAATAGTACTCAATCGAGGACCCGATTATCAGATACTTCAACACGAACTGTTCGGCATTGAGTTTTAACTTCATCGTTTAGCCGCATGGTCGCACCCGCACCTAGGCGTACCAGTACATCCTTTGGTCGACAAAAAAACACTTCATAAGGATTTGAGCTAACAACAACGCGGAATGTGCGGATATTGAGTGTTAACCTCATGCTTTCAGGTATTGTGTAATTTGCTCACTGATGTGGTGCGCAAAAACGTTTTCATTTTATACACCAGCACAAACCGCTCATTATTTGGTCTCAAGCGTAATGTATAGGTGAGTATTAACTTGGATATCACTTTCCATTATCACAATATTCGCTTGTGCGCATGATTTATTGCAAGAAAGGTTCTGTAGAATACGGTTGGTGGCGAAATTGAACACAAAAGGATCTGGACTATTCAAAGATAATTACTCGCAGTTATACGTGGGTGTTCACGGATCCTAACCTATTTGCGGACAACTACAAGGCAAAGGTATGTCCATTTCGTTCTTATATCTGTATCGACCAGTGAGTACTAAATCCCGACTGCGCAACCGTGTATTCAAACTGAAGTCTGTTGATCCACCACAAACGCTATAAAAGCTACGGTGACCGGCTTATGTCATACTTATTGAGAAAAACACATTTCGCCATATAACATGTGGAAACGTGAGTATTTTGTAAAGAAAACTACTTCATTCCGTAGTTTTCGACGCCGTTTGCCCGAACTTTCTGTCAGAACTTTAAGAAGTTCGTTAACAATTTATTTTTAAGTCACGTTAAAAAGAATTGGCGCTGAATTTTTGTGCATTTATGCATTTTTGCCAGACGTAGGTCAGAACTTTTAATCACGCATTTGTACTTAACGTCGCTGCATCCTCTTCTCCCTCGATTGTTTTGCATTGCCCGCATCCGACATGAAATTCTGATTGATGTACTTGTTATCGGAGAGTGTGATCTATAGAAAAGTATGGTTGTTCGTGGCGTCAGCCTTAAGGTACGAACCTGTATTCCTTCGAACTAGAAACAGCAATTCAGTAAAAAAAAGAAATCGTTCTCTTATTTCATCAGAAGAGAACATTCCAATATGTGAGCCTTCTGTTAACCTTATTTCAAATTTTCAACTAAATTCTTGAAATTTTAAAGTCATGGCCGTGTTTTCAAGTGGCCTCATTTGCAGACCACACCTAAACATCTACTTGGATCAGTTATGCAAGAGGCTTAATCGCAGGAATGGCTATAGATCCTTATATGTGCAACTCAATCTCGACAAGAAAACCAAAAGCGGGAGAAGGCGTAAGGCTATCGTTCAATGGTTTTTACCGTACTCAGATGAGAAAGAGACCCGATTCTAACCCCACGCACGCGTATTCATCAATATTAACCATTGGACACTGCTGGAAGCTTGGTTATTTTTGGATGGCAGGGGTAAGCTTTTTGGTCTAGGCATTTAAACACGATAGCGTGTGGTGTCATTGTTCTTTACGTGACAGTTTGACCGCCGTTGCCCACGACGCCCACTGTGTGTTCCGCAGCAAGATGAGAGCAGGCGCGGCAACTTATGCACGGACTTGCACTGCGCCCACCGTACCTCCTCCTCCTCGTTTGAGTCCTGTGTCAAAATATAATCAAGAAAGCCGAAAGGGGGAGACGGTGCAGTTGTCTGGCATGGCCAGACCCCGACCCAGGCGTACCACCCTACCCCCTGGTCAACAACAAGAAACAACAAATGCTCGACAAGGATCTTAACTAACAACAAAAAACTGGTCAGAAAGAGAAGGATGTCACTAGTCACCTGGTAAGCATGTGCATGTTGCAGTTCGCGTCTGCTTGCCCTCCGCTGCTTTGCCAGGCTGCCTTCTTGTCGGCCTCACACTCATTGTCGATAAGCTGCTGGGACGCACGAGGCTTGTCACTAGCCTCGCGAGTGTTCCGGGCCAATCAACGCTGTCCCCCCTCCGATTGGCTGGCGGACGCGGAGACAACGGAGGGCGCACACGCGCTGGGACACAACACCTCGAAGGCGGACTCAGACAACAAACCTGCTTGGAGAGAGGTCTCGCGGCGACTGCCTACAGAGCCTTGGTGTATGCGCTTTTCAAACTGCAAAGCTTGCCCGACACAAACCGTCTTCGCTGACTTTTGATTGGGAATCTTTATCTTGTCGATCACACCACTTTAGCATGCATAGCCTGTAAAGCCAACGGAGCCGCAAGCGCATTAACTGATAGGACATCAGATGCCGGAGAACTGTCAGCACACACTAGGTTTGCTGTGTCGTGCCATAAAATACGCACATAGTTGTTGACAAACATATGTAAGATAAGCTGGAAGATTACTCCATAGGGGAATAACAGCAGTCAAGACGTAATGTACAGCTTATTCGATGGGATCCGGCAACAAAGTTAAATTTTACAAGGACGAGCTTATCGCAAAGGGTGACAAACGCGTGAGCCGCAAACTCCAAGTTCTCAGGCCCACAGTCAATTAGCATGTGAAAATACCACTGCAGAATTACTGTATTTAGACTAACTGGACAGACTAATTAACTACGCGTAATGGGTATGAAAGAACAACGGTTCCAGTGACAACGAGACGAATTGCCGCTGATGCAATCGTGACAAATATTGACACAGATGCGAACAAAGAAGCAATTATAGTATCAAGTAGGGTCGTCAGGGGTAAACGCGAGGGCTTCTAACTATCGCAGGCATGCGGTAACATGTCAGCGGTGGTCTATGTTGACTGCATTCAGTATGCCTTCATGAAGTTTTTCTGCGACGGTTTGTGATAATAAGTTTGATTAAGAATCTGAAATATTAGGCAACTAAATATCCTATCGCATCTTATGTTCATAAAACTTTACATTTCTTCAAGTTGGGCTTACAAGCATGCATCGGGTGTGACTCAAAAAGAAACCATCCAAACCGTTCGTGCATCATAGCCGTGACATTAGCATTAGCATATGCATATACACGACGAGCTGTACAGTTTTTTCATTCCTTGACGATGGGCTCGCGTGAGAGTTCGAAACGTCGGATAAATAAACCATTGGTCCCAGCGATCGCCTTCCCGTCTTCTTCTATGCAATTACCTGGGCCGCGCGTATTCTCTATCATTCGGAATATGCATATGTCTATAATCCGAATATTAGGTGACCGTCATGAAAAAAATCATGGATCACTAACAATCCAGAATAGGTCGGCATAATGGGTGTAATTATTCATGTTAAGCTTTATGAAAACGCTAAGAGCGCCCGTTTGAATTAAAAATTTTTAAAATGACTTAGTCAAAATTAAACAAACAAACTATGCATCAAAGCAATTCCAATAAATATAGTTGCGTATGGCTTTGAGGTGTTGACTTATCAAAACAAGGACGTGCACGTCATTGTAAATAATGAAAATAAACGTATGCTAAGAAGAAAAAGTGATTTTTTATAAAAACAACTCGTGAATTATTGATCTGCGTGTTTTACATCGATTTTGATTTCAACATTTGCACTTGCATGGAGGAATGCAACGATTATAAACAGACAGGTTAGCCAGGCGTTAAAATTATCAATTCTCCGCAATACCGCCTATAACCGGATCATATTTTACGGTCAAACCATGGTAATGTTATCGATAATGAATTGTAGCATAACCGGCGGAAGACTTAAAAAGTACACACCGGAGTGTTGAAAGAGTATACTTCTTATGACGCTCTCAATTTTTGATAATTCATATTTATAAGTAGTCATTTGCTCACTACGTCGATTTCGATTAGTTAAAACGACGATTTTCACGCATTTGAGCATTATAAAAATCCGCTACTCAGGACTTGCAGCTGAACATGGTAAAAATGACCTTCGCGCGGCCTGAAAGCCAGACAGTCATGTTTTGCAAAGGTGTGTTAAATTTTAAATAAGAGAGAGGTAGTTATTATTTTGTTACATTTTTTACGTAGACCAATGCGCTACATATCATCGGTTTATTCTGACGTCAGAGAATAATTAATTGGCGCGAAAACGACTCAACCCCTGTCTATCATACGCTACGTGGAAAAAAACAGCCCTCCCAATCGTCAACAATTTTATGGTTTGCTGCAAAATGCTCAAATTTTTTTGGTTTAATTTGAACGATTGAGGCACGATTGACGGTGACACGCCACTGAATGATCCCATGGAACGTGACTGGCCCGTGTCTGCGAGAATTCAATCGGCCTGTAAGCGGCCTAACCTTGCTAAAGTAGGTGGGCTTACTCCTCAAATATCAACTGAAATTCAGAACTGCGTTTTCGTTTCGAAAAGATTGCTTAGTTGTGGTCGTTAAACTAGGCATCGGGCAGCATAATTCTATAAAAATTCAGTTACCACACGATTCCGGCTATTGAAAGAACTTCCTTCCGACTGCATGGAAAATCTATTTTCTGTAACAAATGTGAGCATA